CTGACGCGGCCCATGCCGGCCCCATGGTCTCGGGGGCCTCCTCGTTGGCCCCCAGCACCCCTCTGTCTCCAGCACCAACGCAAAAGCAGTCGGATGCTTCAAGATTCCAGCCACCACCTCTCACCCTCGCCTTTGCCGTGGCAGCTAGATGGACCAGGAGCCTGCCTCGGGGTGTGTCCTGGCTGCCCCCAGTCCTCTCCCGTCCCTCCTTCCCCTCCTGCCTCCCGTGTGGGAGGGAGGCACTGCCCCAGGGCCTGTGTCTGTGCTGCCTCCTTCTGCAATGCTCTTCCCCAGAGAAGCCATGGCTCCCTGCCCACTTTCTTCACCCCCCGCCCCGGCCCCCCGCCTCTCATCTCAGGAGGCCTGTCCCAGCTGCACGCTCCCAACGGACAGCTCCCCCCAGGCTTCTCACCCACTTCCCCGGGATGGCCGTCCCTCGGCACTGCCGCCAGCCAACACACCATGCGTCTTACTTGTCCTGTTTGCTGAGTCCACCCTCCCCCGCCCCCGGAGGGAACGCTCCATGAAGGCAGGGCCTGGCACACGCTAGGCGCCCATACACACTGCTGAGCGAGTGAGTGAGCCGGAGCAGGCCCTCGCCCAGGAGGGGAAGAGGGTCCCAGGCATGGAACAGGGCAGGGGGGCTGGGGGGAGGCGAGCCTGTGGCTCCAGCACAGCCGCCAGGGACCCCAGGGGAGATGGCTGGCCACCAGCATCTCACAGTCCAGGCCGAGAGGCACACACACAACTGAGGGTCAGGGTGGGGCATGGAGGGCGATCAGGGGCCAGGCAAAGGGGAGGTGCAGCTGGAAGATGACCAGAGGTAAACACACTGAGCCTGGGGATCTGGGGCCAGAAACGTTGTGGATTCTACCCATAGGGTAACTGTGGGCTTGCTCGGCAACAGGCCGCTGATCATCTGTCCACCCACCAATCCATTCATCTATCATCGATCCATCCATCACCCATCCATCCATTCATCATCCATCCATCATCCATCTATCCATCCATCCATTCATCATCCATCTATCCATCCTCCATCCATCCTCCATCCATCATCCATCCATCCATCCTCCATCCATCCATCCATCCATCATCCATCATCCATCCATCCATTATTCATCCATCCATCAACAAACCATCCATCCATCCATCCATTATTCATCCATCCATCCATCAACCATGCATCCATGAATCCATCATCCATCCATTCATCCATCCATTATTCATCCATCTGTCATCCATCATCCATCTATCATCCATCCATCCATCCATCCATCCATCATCCATTCATCATCCATCATCCATTCATCAATTATCCATCATCCATCCACCTATCATCCATCCATCCATCATCCATCCATCCATCCATCCATCCATTATCCATCATCCATCCACCCATCATCCAACATTCATTTATCTATTCATTCATCCATCCACCATTCATCCCCTATCCATCCATGGATCATCCATCCATCCATCATCCATCCATCCATCCATCCATCCATCATCCATTCATCATCCATCATCCATTCATCATCCATCATCCATCCATCCATCCATCCATCATCCATCCATCCATCATCCATCCATTCATCATCCACCATCCATCCATCAATCCATCATCCATCATCCATCCATTCATCCATCCAATCCATCCATCCATGTAGCCACCATCGAATGCTCCTTTTCTGGTCTGTGTCAGTACCCCTGGCTCTGGGAGGAGCCCAGCCCCCACTGGCCCACAGGGCCCACTCTCCCAGCCTGGACGGCCTGTGCCTACTGCAAATGCTGGCACTTACTGGTTTTGGCTTGGCCACAACAGGGACAGGCTCAGGCATTGGAATGGCTCGGGGCTTGGGGACAGTCAGGTTGAACTTCTTGGGCTTGGTGACCTTGGGCTTTGAAGGAGGGGGATGAATGGCCACCGCCCCCTCCAGCTGGTTGATGAGTCCCTGGATGTCTGGCTGCCATCTTGAATGCAAAGGTGGGAATGGCTGTGGAGGTTCCTCCTGAGCAGGCTGGCAGTGGGGCCCTCGAGACCTCAGGGTGGGGGTGACAGTGGAACTGGCAGCCACTGTTCCCTGAGTGCCTACTGCTGGGCAGGTGCTGCACCACCAGCACCGAGTCTTGCAGAGCAGTGTGTTCTGGGACAGATAAGGAAACTGAGGCCCGTGACTTCGCTGTCTTAGGGAAGTGGGGAGCTGGGAGGAAGGGAGTGGGGAGCTGGGAGGAAGGGAGTGGGGAGCTGGGAAGACAGGGAGTGGGGAGCTGGGAGGACAGAGGGGGGAGCTGGGAGGACAGGGAGCTGGGAGGACAGAGTGGGGAGCTGGGAGGACAGGGAGTGGGGAGCTGGGAAGACAGGGAGTGGGGAGCTGGGAGGACAGAGTGGGGAGCTGGGAGGACAGGGAGTGGGGAGCTGGGAAGACAGGGAGTGGGGAGCTGGGAGGACAGAGTGGGGAGCTGGGAGGACAGGGAGTGGGGAGCTGGGAAGACAGGGAGTGGGGAGCTGGGAGGACAGAGTGGGGAGCTGGGAGGACAGAGTGGGGAGCTGGGAGGACGGGGCTGAGCAGACCCCGCTGCTGGAATCTAGGGCCTCTGAGGACAAGCCACAGCTGGAACGGGAGCTACTCCAGGCTGGAGGAGGTGGCAGGGGCAGGAAGCCAGGAGGGAAAGGAGGGCGGTTCCAAAGGCTCCTCCCTGAGGCTGCTCCCGCCCCTGGAAAGGGCTCCAGGTGGGAATAATGGGGCAGGGAGAGCCCAGGTGGGGTGCCCTGGAGCAGGGCTTTGGGAAGGGCCCTGCTGGGCTGCCGAAGGCCCAGTCCCCCTTTCAGGCCCCCACACCCCATGCAGGCACAGCTCCCCGTCACCCGCCTGGCTGGTCTCCCCTCCTGGGGGGCTCCCTGGGGGCAGGCAGCAGGGTTTGGAATGGCTCCTGCCCCACCTGAGCACCAGGCTACTCGAGGGAGGGAGTCACGTCCGAGGCTAGCAGGTGGGCAGGGAGAGTCTGTGGTGGGCTGGACCCGGGAAGGCAGGGAAGGTTGCACATGGGTGGTGGGGAAGGCGGGCAACCTGGAAACAGCTGGGCAGCTGTCAGGTGGCTCTCAGGGCCCAGCAGGTCCAGCCACAGGTGAGGCCTGAGGGTGGGCATGGAGTCCAGCCTGGCTGGGACTGAGGACGTGCCCTGCCCGGGCCAGGGCTTCCTCTCCCTCCCACAGGGGGGCCGCCTTCCCTGGCCCGGGCCTCCCACACACGCTGACCCACATGGTCTGCCTGTCCCAGGAGGGTCAGGTGGCTCCCGCCTCCTACTGGAGGGTGAGCAGCGTGGGCAGCCGTACCCAGGCCCCAGCAGCTGCCCCGCGGAGGCCACGGGCAGGGCCAGGCCACCGTGCTGGCCCTTCTGCCCACACCAGGGGTTCTGGCGCCGCCCGGGCCTGGCATGAGGCGCGGGAAGGCAGCGAGGCAGCTGTGGGGTGGTGGGCCCAGCAGTGGTGCCCTGGGGGCGCCAGACAGAGGTGTAGGCCAGAATCCACCGGGAGCTCCGCACCCCACCGCGCCCCCTGAATTTGTGGGAAGAGGCTGGGCAGGCCTGGAGCCCCACAGGTCCTTGCAGGTCCCAGCCTGCCTCACAGGGGTGGGGGTGGGGGTACAGGTGGGGGGCCTGGAGCAGAAGGGGCTGTGCTCACCCCACCCACTGGGA